AAGCTTGTTAAGTGTGCTTCACAAGCTATTCACGAAGACCATTCTAACTCACATATAGCGATCGTTGAATGAAGCTCATCCTGTGGAGCTGGCCGGATTCCGAAAGGGATTCAGCTGCTCAGATCACATCTAAGCGATCGCAACGGTGATCAAAGTGTGCCGAGAATTCCGAATGCCTCTTGTCCTTACCTTTGTTGACTATGAAAAAGCTTTTGACGAATGCGGTTCTGTCTGCACTGGTCGATCAAGTGGTCGACCCTCCCTACATACGAATACTAGCTGACTGCAGCAGTCGCTGCAGCGCGACGGTGAAGCTTTTCCATTCCAATTGGGAAGGGTGTGAGACAGGCGGAACCATTACGTTGATGCATAATTGTTGCGGATTATTGTAGTTGCATTTTTTCGCGGCTTCTTTTCCCTCGGAACGTTTCGAATACTGAGTCCGGGGTGCTTATAGAGATTATCTTCTTGAGTTCCTCAAGAGATATGCGTCTAAAAAGTCATCCTCACTTTCGCCACATTACGCTCTTCTACTTTGAAAAGTTGGAAGGTGGCATAGTCATTCAGCAATCTCAACGAACTTTTCCGCGATGGATCAGTCAGTCAAAACCAAGCGGAGAATGGGATCTGCTCCTAAATCTGATATATTCGCTGGTAGAAACTTTTATATATTACCAGGTCTACCGTATTCGTTGAAAAATTAGCTAGCCAACAGAACCTACGACGATATGAATGATTTGATGGTCAGTGTCAAGGCGCGGATCATCTCCAATAACCGAAAATTCTCCGCCTTAGGAAACCGACTGCCTAGCAAATTCGAAGCAGTGTTTAAAGTAGAGTGGGGATGCATTCCGGCGTAATTATTTGAACATGTTTTTGTTCAGTATTTTTATTGTTTCTTCGAAAAAAAGTTGTTGAAAAAAATCCGCATTGATTATGCATCAACCTAATATTTCAAGCTGTTCACAGCCGCACTGCGCTCGGTTATGAAGTCGCTGGACTGGGACGAAAAAGGCATTGGTGTGGATGGACGGTTTTTCTCAAGTCTCCACTTTGCGGACGACATCATTCTCTTTTCAAGCAGCATTGCGGAAGCTGAGACTATGCCTGCTGAGCTTGAAAAGCAGAAAAGAAGGTAGGGCCGCGGACCGATCAAACACAGATACAGTTCATGAAGAATGCTTGGGCCGACGAAGGTGAAATTAAAATCGTTGGTCACACTTATCAACGAGACCTAACCGTACGTCTACCTCGGGCATTCCATGAATGTGAACAACGACATGAGGGAAGAACTGGTGAGGCGGCAGGAAGGAGCGTGTGCAACCTTCGGGCCTTTGGAAGAGGGCACCCACCATCCGGTTGACCCGGAACTTCGCGGTTATCTGTTCGATTTCACAGTTCTTCCTGCGCTCTGTTACTAGTTACTGTTACTTGGTTGACCAGTGCATCCATGTCAAAGGCTTGTCACAGGGCACAAGACACAGAGCGCTGTCTTTTAAGGTTCAACCTGCTCACTCAATATCGAGCCGGACTCTGCAGCTCCGATATGCGTAGAATATCTCGACTCCGCGAACCGGTGGAATACATGAAGAACCCAAGATTTCGGTGGGCCGGCCATATAATGAGAGGAGATGATGACAGATGGACAAGAGGAACAGCTCGAGTGGGCTTCCATAGAATCTTCACGATCTAAGGGAAGGCCTGCTGCGAGATGGGAGGATGTGCTTGTCGATTACGTGAAACGGCTGCGACAGCAGCTGAATGACTCTTCATATCGTCGTCTTCGTCGAATTCTGAGTCTACCGTAGATGGCAATCGCCGAAGACAAAAGCGAATGGTTTAAAGCTGGTGCTGAAACATAGCGAAGACGAGCCGTATAAGTAAGCAGGAGGAAAACGGACGGGTACGAAGGATCTTGCAATGTAGGAAAATTCAATAGTTATCCAGAATTTGCGCTAACAACCTTGTGAGTGGTTGGGTTTTTGATCCGAATGATCATCCTTTTGGATCCATAATTCTCAAAACGTTGCCTATCACATTTTATATATCTGTGGTTAGAGGCTGTTGATGGCTCTGACTCAGTAATGTCAGTGAGGTGCCTTACGTTCTCTATGACTTCATTTTATAACCAATATCCTTCTATTATCACGTTCACTCGAAATGGTAATCGGGAAAGCTTTATTAAACATTTTCTGAGCTTTGTAAGCTTGGAGATAGCAATGACTGCCGAAACACGGGTGCTGTTAGTTCCGCGCGTCTATCGAAACTAGGTCACGCCGCAGCCGTCGCATGGGCACGTTAGCCCGCGATTCTTGACGGACGTCGCGGTTGGCAGTGGGGCATACTTTGCGCTTGGTCCACGGCAGTAAGGTCAGAGAGAAAATCACATGGACTAGTGCAAATCAGTCGCTCCACTGACAGTTGGTGGTACTGTGATGTCATTTCGAAATCGCAGTGGCTGCCTTCATGTCCGCGAATCGGCCTGCGAGCGCGCGAGAGAGCGAGCGAGCGCGCCGGCCGAAGATTACTCGGCCGGCGTTTCAACCAACCGTCCCCGCTCGCTCGCGCGCTCGCGGGCCGGATCGCAGACTGTGAAAGCAGCCAGTAGGGTGCGCGGAAGAGGGCGAGGCGACCTAGTTTCGCCGAACGCAAGGAACGGGCGTTTAACCCGAAACATTAGCCAATCTAGCATGGCACCGGTCTCAGGCTCTATGTGAGGGTCCAGACATGTCACAAGCAACAGTACAAAATTCTGAATACACCAATATTCATAATATTTTCAGCAACTTACTGAAACAGACATCATTGCTTTTTCCATGAACAGTTTTGTTATTCCGAAGAGTTGCGTTCAGAGCGAAGAAATAGCAATTCGTGTCGAATTTGTATGCAGGTGACAACTGCAATAAGTTTATACCATAGAACGAAAATTGGAGATGCATCGATGGTTTCTTCACATCTGATAAATTCTTATCGGAAGGGAGGAGTGTACAATAACTCCTCCCATTTCGGTGAGCCATTACGATAGAGTGGTTTGCAAAACTGCGATGTGCGAGTACTACAAGAGTTCGATGCTTTGCTTTTTGATTAGAGAGACAGAAGAAGTCGTTTAAGTAACATTTGCTACATGGTGCGATTTGTCTGGAATGGATATCTATCATTTGGAAGCAGTATGGCACCTAGTACCCCCNCCCCCATCGGTGAAAATCATAGAAGTCAAGTTCATGATAGTCTGAAATTCTCATTGCATTTGACGCTTGCACGTGTGAAAATGAAAATGAAAAAATGGAAAGGGGAGGTATGGCTACGGGTTTTATGAGAATGAAAGTCGAATGCGGGGGTACGTTCTCAGACGGGATTGATTAAGGCCAAAAAACTTCATCCGTTAGAATTTTATGGGAAAGTAATGTGGGCATAAGATATTTCTTCTTAAGGAGTCAAAATTATTTTCTTTTAGTCGAACCCAACTGAAACTCGAAATAATTTTTTCACGGTCAGGACTAAGTGTTGTTTCAAATGAAGATTTCTTGAGCGGTCCTTTCAATGACGAACTCGATACTGTATATGTCGCACTCTAACATCTTGTGCGTATGGAATCTTTAAGGATTGAGAATCAAGCCAAGCCTTCATGGAGCAGTGGAACAGGGCATCGACGAGCCAAGGGTTATATAAAGTTGAAGCTCTCGTAATTTAAAGCAGGGATCGTGCCCTCCTGTTCTCCTTTCCCTCTTATTCATACCTGGCTGCGTAATTCCAGTCAATTTACGCTCATTTCACCCATGGTCCGCCCCGGCAGATTGAAGACATCCATGGTAAATGGTGGACAGTGACTGATCTTGATGCAGCCCACGGAGACCAGCCTGGATCGAGATCAGTCACTGTCCACCGTTTACCATTGATGGCTTCAATCCGACACCAGCACTCGCTCCAAGTTTGGCCTAGGCCCAAGATAGCAACTATCGCGTACGTACCGCCTCCAGTGAACGACGGAGTCAAGTCATACCATTTTTCATCAGCATTCCCAACCTGCCAGGCAAGGATAGCCGAGTGGATAAGAGTGCAGGCTCACGTCTGCACTTACAGGGAGTGCGAGTTCGATCCCTGCCGGGGCAACTCCATGCCTTGCAATTTTGCAAAAATGGTATCGGTTCCAGCGTCAGGTCCAGGTTGACAGGCGGGCTGATGGAGAAACCAGTCACAATAAATTTGTCTAAAGTCTCAAAGAGTAGTGGTGATGAAGCTAGGACATCACCCAAAAGAGGTGCACAGGACCCCCGCCCGCTCCCGTGATTAGTATGCGAGGGCTACCGAGTAGAAAACGTTCCGGCCAAAGAAGTCAGTTCGAATAGGCATACTAAATGTGGGATCGCTTACTGGGAAGTTCTGGGAAGTCGCTGATTTTATGAAGCGCAGGAACATCCAAGTCTTCTGCCTCCAAGAGACCCGCTAGAAGGGAGCAGAGGCCACAGAAATTGGCGAGGGTGCCAAACTCTTATACAACGGAGAAGACACCAAACGAAATGGTGTGGCCATAGCAGTGTCAGAGTCTCTGAAAGACTCTGTCTCCACCGTCAACAGGATCAGCAGTCGAATCATGGCTGTGAGGATAGATACGAAGGAGGGGTACTGGACAGTAATATGAGAGTACGCACCTCACGCTGGCTGCCCGGTCTACGAAAAAGATGAGTTCTATTTGGGCCTTGACGAGGTCATCAGATCAGTTCCGGAGGGGCCTACCTCACCATAGCAGGTGGTCTGAATGGGCATGTCGGTGGTGGAAGGAGGGGACTGGGAAGGGTACATGGAGGAGGAGGAGTAGGAGTCAGAAACGAAGAAGGGGAGAGAGTCCTTGCCCTGGCCATGGTCTACGACTTGGCAGTCTGCAGCACCTCCCTCGCGAAAAGGAAGTCCCAGAAGGTAACCCACAGCAGTGGAGGGAAAGAAACGGAAATAGATCATGTGCTAGTAAGAAGATCGTCCCTCAAAACTGTAAAGGACATCAAGGCACTGCCCGGAGAAGATCTGGCTCCACAGCACAGACTCTTCTAGCAGACATAGCCGTCGATCTTTCTAGGAAATCAAGGCCTAGCTGCTTACAGAGCTTCCAAAAGGCTCGTCAAGGCTGCTGTCACGAAGGCGAAGAACACGGTAATGGACGCCTTTCATGAGAAACTCGACAGTCAATAAGGAGAGAAGTTCGTCTTCCGCGTGGTGAAAGCGCATCACCACGCCACTCAAGACATCGGGGTAGTGAAGTCTGTCAGGAACAGCGAGGATGCAATCCTGAGGAAGCCTAGCGAAGCCAGGCGTAGGTGGAATGAATACTTCGACGGGCTCCTCAACGAAGAATTCGCCCGTAAGAAGAGCTCCCACTTGGAGACAACGGCTGGCCCCATCAAACTCTGGACAGAGAATGAGGTGCGTAGAGCCATGGAAAAGATGAAGGTTGGGAAGGCAGCTGGTCCGGATGGAGTACCGATCGGGGCATGGAAGGCGCTCGGAGGGCACGGGATAAAGTGGCTGAACACTGTCACCGCTGAAGGAAGAATCCCAGATGCGTGAAAGAGGGGTACTATCGTTCCCATCTTCAAGCAGAAGGGGAGGCGATGGAGTGTTCCAACCGCTGGGGATCAGGTTGACTGCTCACACGATGAAAGTGTACGAGCGGCTGGTCGACTCAGGATTGAGAAAAATGGTTCAAATCTCGCAGAAGCAGTTCGGCTTCATACCTGAAAGATCTACAATGGATGCCAACTTCGTAGCTAGGCAGTTATGGAGAAGTATTGAGAAAAGCGTAGACCCTGCTACCTAGTTCTCCTCGATCTGGAAAAGGCTTTCGACCGTCACCCGCGACAGGTCCTCTGGAAAACGCTACGAAAACGAGAGGTTCCAGAACACATGATCTCTCTGGCGAAGGACATGTACGACGGCTCCACTACAACAATACGCGCCCCACACGGCCAAACCGGAGCAATACATGTCACGGTTGGGGTACACCAGGGATCAGCTCTGAGCCCGTTTCTCTTCCTACACACGATGGACGTCATCACAGAAAAAGTCATGGATGGACCACTGAAGACCATCCTCTACGCTGATGACTTCGTTCTGATAGCGGAGAGCAAGGAAAAACTCCAGGACAAACACCAGAATTGGCAGAGGGTGTTGGCGGAAAATGGACCCCGGCTGAACGTGAAGAAGAACAAGTACCTCAGCTCCGATCGAGTCAATCGTCGATGGTCGCGGGGAAGCCATCGAAAAGGTCCAGGACTTCCGATACCTGGGGAGTGATCTAGCCGCTGATGGTAGCGTGGACCAGGCCGTAAAATCCCGGTCAAACGCGGAATGGATAAGTAGAGGGGCTTGCGGCTGGACGCGGTTGGATCGGGTCAGAAATGAAGACGTAACGACGGCAATGCAAACAGCTCCAGTTCAACTGAAGATGAGAGAGCAGCGCCTGCGACTAAGAAGACCACAGAGCCACCCGATAAGGGAAGCTATGGAGTTCGAGGCTCAAGGTAAGCGACCACGAGGAGCCCCAAAAGAGAGATGGCAGGACGTGATCAAGAAGGACTCCGCCGAAGACAAGGTGACGGCAGAAGATGCCGTAGATAGAACGAAATGGAGACGGCTGACAAGAACAGCGGACCCTGCGGCGGCGCGGGATTAACGCTAGGGCGAAAAGAAGAAGTAGAAGAAAGTTCCCATCCTGCCCCCTGAATCTCCATAAAATTTGAAAGCCTCAGGTCCACAGGTCCGAACTGACGATATTCGCGTTTGCCTTGCCTCCAGTGGGCGAATTCTACACCTATCAGCTGCCATTAGTGTTCCAAACTGCCATCTGCATCCCTACCGAATTTGAAGACACCCGGTCCAAAAGTAACAGTTTTCACGCATGCCCCGCCCCTTCTGGGCGGAGTCAAGTCCTACCGCATACCATTATTCCGTTAGTGTTCCCAGTACTCCTATCATACAAGAACTCTCAGGGTCTTAGGGAACAGAAGTTTTGAATTTCCTGTCGGACACACACACACACACACACACA